TCGTCTCTTACCCCTCTTCCTTCCCCCTCCCCCCCTCTCTCTCTCTCTCTCGTCCTTTCTACACTTCCTACCCTTTATACCTTTTTCTCTTTCTCTCTAGGCCCTCACCCCATCCATCACACCCGGGGTGCATGTACACACAATCTCGTGGCCGTATATTCACGTACCCCTTTCACAACGAAAACACATGAACGTTGTAAAGCGCTGCTCTGACACAAACATACGTGATATGTACGCGCATGTGTGTGCATGCATATACACAGAGAAAGCGAGTGAGCGAGAGAGAGAGAGAGAGACTTGGAAATAAAAGGGAATCGCGACGATTTAATGACTGATCGGGCTGTTGCTCGCTGTTGCTGGTGTACAGGCTGAAGAGCTCTTCCTTCTCCGCACGTCTCGCGTTTCTGCTTTCTTTCTTCTTTCCTCTTTTCTGTTTTCTTTTTTCCCCTCTATTTTCGTGTCTGATAAGGAACTTGCCTTTTCTTCGAACTCTCGAATCGGTAGGGTCATTTTTGTGCGGCAGATCGAACGCTGCTATTTTCCGAGCGTATCGATACGTAATAATGAGAGTCTTTTCTCATTGCTTAGATCCCATTTCGAGGTTCGACTCTATAAATTACTGCCGCTGTTGCTGCGCGCTCTTGTTCTTCTTTCATATTAATGCATCATTGTTAATGCATTGTTAATCGTATGCATTAACAAGTATTAAATTATTGAATCACATTAAATGCTAAATCTCAGATCATAGTAGGAAAACTTTCGGCGTAAATTATTCTAGCTCACACAACTGTAATTTAATAGCTTCCTGAAATTAACATCATATACAAAAGCCATTTATCAATCGCATGTGCGACCAAAGAAAGAGAAAGCGTTTCCGAGTTTCGCGTACACCCTCCAGTTACTTTACGAGCTTACGAACAATAGGAACTGATAATTCATAGCCTCCATCTCCCTCGTATAGTCTCGAGATCCAGAACTGGCGAACGTAAAATTTGTGGTGCTAGAAAGATTAAGATTTTGTTAAAGCGTCCGAGAAAATGGATATATTATATGATTGTCGAAAATATATTGTATATAATCCAAAATGTATTTGTTAAATCGTATCGATATCGTATGGCTGAATGTCTGCGGAGTAGATTATACATATACTTTCTTTATATTGATTGTACATGCTTTTCTTTCTCCATAATATGAGTAAGGAAGTGACGATACGCATTGATTTTTTTTTTCGTTTTGCGAACACGCGGGCAGAGAAGTAATAAATGAGCTATAACGTCGTTCCTTAAATTGAAATCGATCGATGTAGAAGTATCCTTAAGAGATTGTTAAATCTTGCTGAGAAGCATGCAGGAAAGTAGAGGGGAAAAAAATGTTGTATCAAGATGCGTTGCGAGCGTGCAATGGTTAGGCTTATTTCGTGTAAGCCTAATTTATAGGGATGTTTCGTGTCCTCCACAGTTGCCCCGCAGGCTGTGTCCTATTACTCCTATTCTCTATCTCTATTATGCGCCGCCGCGCCGCCGTCGTAGGCCGAAGCTTCTCCCGATATCTATGTGCCATTCTAAATTATTCGGTATTGTCCTCGCATGATTCCATTGTCCGCGTCTGTCTCCACCGTGTGCTGATACGCCATGCCGCCGCAGGTTAGGGCGTAGACCTACAACAACACCCGCCGTCCGTCGCCGGTACGCTCGGCGGCTCCGCGCCGCTCCGCGCCGCGCCGCGCGTGTATCTGCTTCGAGTAGGTACGTGGTACGTCTTGTCATCGTCGGTCAAGAGAGAGCTAGAGGTCCGCATGCACGGCATGCGAGCTCCATTCGCGTATGCATGTACATCGTCAAACACGTCTAATTGATCGCCATTTCCGAGCCACCACGCACGATAAGTGATAAGAATGCGTGCAGAGTTGACGGAGCTGTCTGTGACGAATGCCGAATGCAATGTATTACTCATGTGTAATCGGATGCTGATATGAGAGCTACTTACTTATTCCAACTACTTTGACTGCAAGGATAGTTGACAAGTTGACAAGTTTATGAAGGCAAGTGCGTATGTACGATGAAAGAATCGAAAAAGAAATGTACGATCAAGTTTTAATTGTTGACAAATTTCTCTATAATTATATAAAAGATGTAATTTTTCCAAAAAGTGTTTATTATTACATAATATAATATTATTATAGCATATTTGTGTATTTGATTCGATTTAAGTTTAAATTATAAAATCTATTGCTGAGACATGTGGAATGGATCAGCGTGGTACATGGGCGTATCCAGAATTTCTTTCAGGGAGAGTTTTTGTCTTATTCTGTTGGCACGTAAACAGCAATTTTTTTAATAGAAAAATATTAGATTTCGTAAATCAACATTTTCGATGGGGGGGGGGGGGGAATAGGTAAGATACATCTATTAAAACCGAAATTTGGAGTTGAGATTATACTAATTTGCTTAATTTCTCAGCGTATATTCTGTTTTTCGACTCGAAAACCTTGCGAAAATTTTCCTTATGTATTTAAACTCTTAATTTTGACTCTGTCAAAATGTCTTTAACTAATGGATGTTCCGAAAATTACTTGCATGTAGATTATGAATGAGGGAGACTCCAGAAGAGAGGAAAAAATATTTTATGTGGTGACAAAAATTTACTTGGAGTCAATAGTAAAAAAAAATTTCTTTATAATTAAAAATAAAAAAATAAATAAAAAATTTCAAGGAGAAACGTTGAACTCTTCATACTTGCTCTTGGATATACCTCTTAGATGATTATGACAAGTCACAACGACAATATTTTTTTCACCCAATAATCTTATAATTACGACTGTAGTATACATAAATGTGTGTGTATTATATACGTATGTATTCAATTGATGCTTCTCTTTTCCGACGCAACGAATTTTATGAACTTTCTAGCGTATCAAAATACACGCAAAGTATATACGGTTGTCCCGCGTCGAAAGATATCCAAGAGAAGTTAGATCTCTCTCATTCGTGTGTGCCAGGGACAGGAGAGATTACAATAAATTGCACACACACCCTTCTCGAAATACAAGACACGTATAAGGGAGATGAGGAAAGAGGAGAGAAAAAGATTCCTGTTCGTGATACTATGTTCCCTATTGAGCCACGTTACTTCCCGTCCCGTCCAAAGGGCGGTGACATTTCACAATGGTTTCGTTTTCCTCACCTTTCCCTTTATTGATTAGATAGACACTTTCGTAAGCCGCCATTCATTGTCAGATTACTAGGGAGCATTTTGAAATATCATACAAGATATCTCAAGTTTTCCGCGATATTACTTTTATTTACAAATTATTGGATCAAATTCATGTAACTCATCTACGGTTCGCGAACTTTGACGAATCGTGACATAGAATTGTAACAGCATCGTCTGAAAAACACCTTACGTAATACGTATATTCGACAAATACTTGCAGCACAGGTATATGTACTTGGTATCCTCAAAGATCTGGCAGATATAAACTTGATTACGCCATCGCTGACTTTACGAAGGTTACAAAAGGATAGGAATTTCAACATTGTGTGAGATGGTACGTACGTCGGAAACCGGAGGGGTTGATGAAACCGGGAGCGATCCCTGAAAGAATGATATTTTAATAACGGTCTCTGCCGGTATAGGTAGTAGTAGTATCTACTGGCGAATTCTACAGGAGGAGTGGCTCTAAACGCGTGTGTGCAACACTTATACAAACGTATCACACAACACGTTGAGGGTTTAAGAATCATCCTTTCGGTGCGCCAGCAGCTACATTAACGCGGACTCTTGATATTGCATTCCTTTCCTTTGACGTTCTCGAATGTCAATTATTAATGTTATTATCTAGATGCCACGCCGGAGACAGGGTGGAGATAGCTGTATCCTGCTGCGGAAT